AATGTTCTTCAGATTATATTGGTCAGCAAAATGTTTTGATTTTATTTAAACAAACTTTAAAAACTTGTGTTTAAGTCAGACTTAAAGTTTGACTTTGAAGCACTATAGTGGACGACAGTGAAAACATTTATTTGACCATTGCTTTTTCAAGCAAGTTCATTCTTTTTTATTAATTCATTTTTTTATTTATTGTTTCATTGTATTATTGATGTTAAGATTGCTTTCAGGACTCACAATGTCTCTTCCTGTCTTTGTCCTCTTTGTCTGAAGCAGCTTCGGTCCTCGTCCTCCGGGACAGCGTGATCCTGTTTCCTGGAAAGAGTTCCAGACCAGGGATGAGCCGGCAGCTGACCTCAGACCTGTCTTGTTCTCTAATGTTATTGATCTGTATCAGTAGTACTGTGAGTGGTTGGTGGTTGTTCTGAATGTTGATTGATCTTTATCAGTCAGTACTGTTGATGGTTACCCAGCTGTCTGATTGGTGTCATGCATCACTTTGAACCAATCGGTGATGATGCTCCTCGTGTCGTACTGCCATCAAGATACTCGTCACCTGACGAGTCTTGCATGCTGTAAAACAAACACACACACAGTCACACACAAGTAACAGTAACCGCACGACGAACCATCGTTTGACAATGACACAGCACATGATAGAGCGTGCTACCTCAAGAACATGCTAAGAGTTATACTTTCTTCCTCCAGTGACCCTCAAGAGTCCTTAGAACCAGTGGACACCTCTCCAGTGACTGTAGAAACCCCTCAATAACCCCTAGATACATAATCATTGTGCCCCTAGAGTTGATCCTTGTAAAATAATCTCCTCAAGATCACTCAAAGATCCCCAAAGACCTGTAGGACCATCCCACACAGACCTTAGAACCTCCACAATGACTCACAGTAGTCTACCTTAAGGACAACTAAAAACTTCCTCAACGACCCCCAACACTTCAACAACGGAACCTTTAGAACATATTTAAGGACACCTAAAAAAACCCCCCTCATGACCCCATAGTATCTCCTCAAAAGATACCTTAAAACTCCTCAAGTTCTCCATGAATTTCCTCAAGAAGAAGACTGGTAAAAATGGTTGTACCTCTAGAACGTTCTTCTTGGATGACATTGTCCTTGGAGGCCAGGCCACTGGAGGCTCCTCGTCAGCTCGACAGTGTACTCAGGAACAATCTGTGACGACTTACTCGATATCTAGTATATCACTATGAATATCGTCATTCTATCATCATTCATTTGTGACGAGTTCGTATCAATTTCAAATCAAAATATGTATATTTGGGGCGCGGCGGTTAGCTCAGTGAGTAGGAGCTGGCGACCATGTACGAAGCTGAGTCCTTGGCTGCAGCGGCCCAGGGTTTCGAATCCGACCTGCGGCCCGTTTGCTGCGTGTCATTCCCCCTTCTCTTCTCTCTGCCCCCTTTCTTGTCTGTGTTCAGCTGTCTCTATCTATAAAAGGGCAATTAAACACGCCCCAAAAAATACTTTTTACAAAAAGAAGTATGAGTATATATGTTATGTGACAAAATGTTCTGTTTGCTAGTCTATCACACGAATGCGCGGTGAACACAATGAGAGAATACTTTTTGTACTTATTTGCAGTATGTATGGAACCTTACCACTGTTGTTCTATCTCCACTTCCTGTTACTTTCTGCTGCTTTACAGAAGTTCAGGTTATCTAGATAGGTCGTCAGGCTCAGTTTATGGGAAATTATTAAGGCGTTCAAATCCTCCTCTGCTCCACTACTGTCATCACCAAACTCTATTCCAAAAACGGATTGGAGAGTAGAGGGAGCAGTCTATAGTGCAGTCAGACCACCACAGTAAATGGGGAGATTACAGAGAGAGTCTATGACTGCAGGCAGCCGCCAGGATCTCATCTCTTAACACACAGAGTCCAACACAGAGTACAAAGTCAAAGCTAACATTACTGCAAAGCTTGTGGCTTGTGTGCTTCATTCAGATTCCTGGTTTGTTGCCTGGCGCTACGGGTTGGCCGGCGCTGGATAACTTATTATTTAGCATGTCTGGATGGCAGCTGGTCATCTCGCTTGTTCGATAATGTTATCACTAGTAAAATAATATGTGAGTGGAAATGTTAGTTGGCTAACGTTAGCTTCCTCAGCTAATGATAGCCATGATACTAACTTATGTATTCTGACAAATGGTGATAATTTTAGCCAACAATAAATTATGCTAATGGTACAAAGCTAACAGTGGCTTTCTACTAGCCAACAGCGATGCAGATATCATGCTAACTTGTGCTGGACTCTCTTCAGTTATTCAGTTATGAGCAATGGTCACTCCACTGTAGTTTCAGTCTCGTTGTTTGTGTGTGAAATGTTCAGGTGCACACTGACCAGGAGAGCGGGAAGGTGTTTTATTTCCATCCTGTCACTAGACAGACAACCTGGTCCGACCCCCGCGGCCCTCCACCCCCACCCGCTCAAGACATGGACCAGTCCAGGGGAAGCGAGGGGGGACAGTTGACCTCACCCTCCCCTCTACTCTCCCCCGCCTCCTCTCAGGTACGAATCATTGAACGGGTTATTTCTGTCGTATGTGGACCGATGTAGAGTATAATATATAAAAAAATAAACAGTTCAAACATGATGGAAAAAGGATAAATTATAAATATCATAAAGTGATCATAAAATTGAAGCATTAATGTGAGTAAAGATATGCTAAAGAGACTACCTGATGCTACATTATTACAGTCCACATCAGTAAATAATAATATGAACTGAACAGGACAACATAATGCCACATTATAACATTCAAACGTTCCTCCTGTCAGGGTTCGTGTGGTTGGGAGCAGCTGGTGGACGAAGTCTCAGGGAGATTTTACTATTACAACCCCGCCTCTGGGGCCACGTCATGGGCAGCACCAGAGCCACTGTCCCCCTCCTCACCCTCCTCCCCTCCGGGATCCAGAGCCAACAGGAGGCAGGACGACGGCCCGGTACGTCTGCTTTAAAGTCTTGTTGCTGTAGCTTTTACACGTTTTTTGTTTTTTTTAAAATGTTCTTTCTGTCTAAAATCTTCAAGTATATCAGGTAATATCAGTTTATCAAATTAAAACTTAACTGTTTTTAATGTTGTTTTTGTGATTAAACTGAAGCCTCCGCTGCCAGAGGAGGATTATCCTGTAGACACACAGAATGACAACGACGCTGTCTTCACAACGGTACAACACACACACTGAAGATGGAGTTGATTGTACAACGTTAGAATCTGTCATCAGCTTTGATATTTCACCTCCAGTTTATCCCTGATTTTATTCCCAGAATCCTCAGAAGCAGCACGTGATTCCCAGAGCTCAGCTAGACCCGAAAGATGGAAACGGCTCTCAGTGGAGGCAGCAGGAGGTAATCAATCAGTATATCAGTCAGTTTCTTAGTGGATCAGACAGTTTTTATGTCTTATCTTTAATATATTAATTCATTGATTGTTCCAGCTTCCACTTTTGCCCCAACGGATGATGGGAAATGGAGTTTCTGAGGATGGAACAACTGTGCAGGTCAGGAACTGGAGACACAGTGTGGCCGAAGACGTGAGTCAAACCAACATAATGACTGTGAAAACAAAATACGTTGATATAAGATATATCCTTTATAATATATAATTCAGGACAATAGCTCTTATGAACAGGAAAATGAGGGGTGCAAACAAAATTATTAATAGTGTGAAAAAAACTTGAAGGAATAAGATAACTAAAAAAGATACCTTGTGCGAAAGAGATAGCAAGTTGTGAAAACAAGATAACGTGAGAATGACATAACTTAGTCTACATGGGATAATAACTAGTGTACATGAGATAAAAACTTCTGTGAATAAGACTGAGATGATAACTTGTTCAAACCCTCTTCACAATAGATGTGACCAGCCACGAGAAAACCAGCAACAAGTCTCCCAAGAGGCATTTTGAGCTATTTACAGATTCTGAAAGTGTAGTTTCTAAGCTTTCCAATGATGTCTAACACATGGAAATATTTGAAGAAG